CTGGAAAGTTTTCCGCAGCCATTTTCAAAAAAAAAAAAAAAAAGCTGTTAACAAAAAGAAAAAAACTGTTATTATTTCTTTGAAAATTATCTAAGCCTTCGCATATTATTAGATGCATGTATACATTAGGTTAATGAGCGAACAAATAATTAATAAGGGATGATTGGAAAATGAAAATGTAAAAATCGATATCGGAAAATTATACGAAAATTAAACTACCAATCTTTTAATTTGGAAAGTTTCCCGCAGCCATTTTCAACGCCAATGCACAAATAAGACACTAGATGAATAGGGGGATGAAATTAATTTGAAATGAATTGTTTTATCTAATTTGAATTTCTTCTTACTTGAATTATTTCTTTCCTTATATCCTTTCATTTATTAATTTAAAATACCCGAAGCATGGGATTGGAGTGGATTAAAACTTAATAAATAAAACAATGATTAAAATTAAGTAATACCGTTAAATCCAGGTTGCTATGGAAATTAGCAGAGCGCCGATTCCCGGTAACCATAAATAAGCCACTGGCAGTGCTACTACCACTTTCCTTGTGGATGGCTTCATTTGACGATTCATCCTTGTCGAACATTAGTGAATCGCAATTTACCGAATTACGCCTGCAAAATTTTAAGAAAATAAATAAGAAATAAAAAATGAAGGATAAAATGACATGAAAATGTAGAAATTCTAAAAAAAAAAACTAATCAATTTGATCGATTGATTAAGTAAAATTTCAAATTTTAAGATTCAATATCAAATGAATCAAATTATGATGTAATTCAATAAATCAAGTGACGAATAAACAAATCATTTTTATTAAAAAATGTAATATTAAATAATTCTATAAATGGTAAAATGCAAATGCATGATGCATTATGCAAATTTTTATAATTAGACACTGTGATTTGGCAGCAGGGAAATCATCATTAATTTAAGTAAAAAATTTACTCAAATTTATTTGTTTCTTTTTATATCTGCTTTTTTTTTCCTGTTAAAATTTGTTAAGGAAAAAAAATTTTGTTTCATGTCAGAAATGAGAAATTAAATGGCCATTTCATGAAATTTGCTCATTAATTATTTGGAAATTTAAAAAAATTCACAATTATTACAAGAACATTTTTTCTTTTTCACTTTTTAAAAATCTCTTTCATTTTTGCAAAACTCTCCCTTGAAGTAACTTTAACTTTCATTGCATGAATGTAATATTATACAAAATTATTGGTTATTGAGCTTTTAAAATAAATTCATTTCTAAATTTAGTCAACAAGTTTTAATTAGTTAGATGCTGAAATAAATCGCCAGAGCAAGTAGTAAAATTCAATCTTTTATTAATAATTAAATAATATCGAGAGGAAGGAATGATGACGCATGACTTAATAGATACATAATCTATTCCTATTATCGGTAACAAAATTAATGTTTAATAATTAGCATTTATGAATTGGTCCTTACATTTCACATTTCTCTTACCGTATAATATATGATCGATGTTTGAGGAATCTACTTGATTGCTACATATCCGGTATACGCATAATATTTCCTGATATAGCGACATTATCAATGTCACATTTAAATTTTAAATCAACTGTTTGAAATTATCATTCATAAGTTAAACAAATTCAGTAATTCATACATTCCACTAATGCTATTTATATATTTATAAATGATATTATTGATGAATTAAGATTTCAATTTATTCAGGGAATTGGAAGAAAAAAGAAAAATTGTATGACAGAAGAAATCATAAAAGGAAGAGCTATAAAATTTATTAAGAGTATGTAAAAATATAAGAAAAGAAAGAAAAAANANANANANANANANANANANANANANANANANANANANANATATATATATATATATATATATATATATATATATATATATATATATATATATATATATATATATATATATATATATATATATATATATATATATATATATATATATATATATATATATATATATATATATATATATATATATATATATATATATATATATATATATATATATATATATATATATATATATATATATATATATATATATATATATATATATATATATATA